CAATTTCTTAAATGTATAACAAAATTCGGAATTTTCAAAATGCTAAGGCTCTGCCAATTTTCAGTTTAAGAAAAAACTAGCCGATAGGTTTTGAAGCTTGAGTCATGAACAATAAAACTTATCGGTTAGATTTTTTAAAATGGTGTAATTTTTTTTTGTTTTAGAATTTTGAAGTTGACCAATTGTTAATGATTATAGATGATCTGCACCGTACTATTCTCGTGATGACAAGGATGTTTGCCGAAATTGAAATTGAAAATACCCCATTTATAGATGGAGCAATTCATTTATTATACATTATACATATATAATTTTTAAAAGGAAAAATTATTACGATAAATAATTAGTGATGTTAACCGGTGGAAAGCTAAGCCGATAAAATTCTTAGCTGGCTAACATCACTATAAATGATATCACTTTTTGATCAGGCGAGAAATTAAATAATTCAGGGCATTGCTTGAGAGTAGGGACAGAAAAGTTAATATAAATTATTTCTTTACAAATAATTCGTTTTGTAATAAACATTTTTATGATTAAATATTAATTCTTTTTTTTTATTTGTTTAATAAAAACTTTTGTGAAGTAGTATATACTAGGGTTTGATCGTCCGTTTAATTTTCACATACAGTTTACGAGTTTCGCACATAATTTAAGAGTTTCGCACACATTTAGGAGTTTCGCTCACACTTTAGGAGTTTCGCCTTTTTAAGTTTCGCCAATTTCTTCAGAAAAATTTTCATGAGCGAAATTAGGCCTAAACCAAATATCTAAACTATGTGTTAGCATCACTATTCCATATTATGTAGATATGTTTATTATATTGTTATTTTATATAGATAAATAAAATGAAGTATGAATTTGAGAAAATTACGTTATTTATATGTTCTAAAGGTTCAGTTATCTAACCCCATTATTTCCAGGAACTCTTGGTGATAGTCTCTTGTTCTAATTTAATATTCCTTAAAAAAAATCTATGCCTTCCTTTAAGAAAAATTCCAAGTTCTTTTTAAAGTGGACAAATTATTTCTTTTAAATTATTCATTACGTTGATCGAGATTGAGTAACGCTCACTTTTAGTTTATTATTTTTATTATTAATATAATGTTTCCGATTTTTGTCACGTGTAACTTGTTGTAAATCATTTCCGTTTATTTTAAAGTTTCCCGTGATTATAAATCACTATTACTATTTCACGGTATCAATTAACATAAACGTTAGCAACCAATTCTATTGGAAAGGCTCTAAACATTTATTAATATCTTCTGTAGAAATGGTTAGCTACTATAACAAGAATCCTTATATTGAATAAAAAGACAAATCAATAATATCAATATAGGATTAATAGATTTCATTAAGAATTTATGAAGTTGGAAATTAAATTTTTTTTTAAGTTTAAATTCTTTCAATGATAATAAATTTGGGTTACAGATAATGAATGGAACAATTGTTTGCTCAAAGACTGATGAATTGGCGGATGGATCGGTTGTTCTTATACATGAATGGAAGTGATAAATATAAATTTATTCATATTTTTTGCTTATAACATAAAAAAGCATAATGTTTCCCCAATGACCATATTCTATATATTAAAACATTCAGTTTTATTACTTGTTGGTTTTAACTGTTGTGTTTACATTCATAGCTTTTGGTAATAAAAATTTAGAAAAATGGTTATTGTCATTATCATCTTTGAAATTAATTAAACTCATAATCATAATTAAGGATGTTAGCCGAAATAGTTTTCGAAAAAAATTAATTTCGGCAAACAATTTGGATTTACAATATTCTTTATATCAACAGACATAAAGAATTTCGGCTATTGAGTAAAATAATTTCGGACAAGTAATAAAGTTGATTTCGGCAACTATGAAAAACTATTTTGACATTTCAGATTAAGAGAGGTAATTTCGACTAAAATGCTTACTCACACAATCTAAGTTACATTAATAACAATGATTATATCAAAAAACTATAGTGAACAAAATTTATAAATAAGGTTATAAGGTGGTGTGTTGCTAACTGGATAGTCATAGTCGTGACTAAAGATTTATATCTAACCACAACTAGAAAATTTTAAAGTCAACCGGATTTCAGTCGCAACCGGATTTCTGCTGTAAACCAAATTTTATTCTGATTTTTTTATTAATTTCAAAAATTGACATTTAACATATATTGTATATAAAGAAAACAATGATTTTTATTTACAATTCTTTTCGTATATTGAAGTTTATGTAAATTTAAAGAAAATTACATTTTTAGCTGTTGATGGTTTTAAACAATTTCTTTTAGTGATAAAGTTTCCATTGAAAAGTCACGTTCAGCAGGGAACAGATGATGATGATATTTTCTTGATATGCTTGATAAGTTTGGAAAGATGGTTTTTCACATTTTCTTTAATTGATATTTGTGGTATTTTTAAATATAAATTCAATTCACTCACATCTTGATCATTGACATTATCATCAAAAAATGAGAATCCGAAAGTTTGCTAAGTATAAGATATTGGGCACGCAACAGCCAATATCATGACATCCTAGATGTCATTGAAATTGTCCATCGCATGCCCAATATTATAATGTTATTATTATTGTTATCTTGTGATATCAAATTTATAATTTTTTTCCTCATTAGAAACAAAATTTAACATTTTAAAATATGGATCAGAAAATGGGCTGATTAGTAGTACAATCTCTTTTAGCTCTTTTCATTTATCTTATAGAATCCAAAATAGCCTTATGCATCTTTTTGCAATCTATGTTCTCAGTTCAACATCAACATCTTTTAGATGTTTAAAAGTTTATGAATTACTGATAGGTAAGTAAGTGATAAAGTTGGACATTTGCAACCACCAAGCAGTTCAGTTGCTTCTGCAACTTTTTTCAACAATTCTAATAATTCTTTTAAAGATAACCATTCATTTTCATTCATATAATAATTCATTTTCATATGTACCTTTTGTTGGGTCTTTTGCTAGACACTTGCTAATATTTACTTCTGTCATGCTTGTTTCATGAATAGATCTAATTAAATTTCTATATTGATTGTTGTAATTTCCGGTAGCCTCAGAGCCATGTCAATGTGTAATTCTTCTGTTCCATTAAATTTGTTACTTTTTTCGAATAATCAATTACTTCTTCTTAAACTATTGTTGCTGTTGGATTTATCGTGATTGAATATATCAATGTTGGTGGATATATCATTGCTGTTAGATGTATTATTGCTATTAGAAATTTTTTTTCTTGGGCATTTTAAATGGATCCAACTTTTAACTTTTATGTAACGCGAAAATTTTTTGTTATAATTAAATTTTTATCAAATGATTGTATTTGTTAATCACATAAAATTTAAAACCCATACTTTACATTCACTTAAACTTTACTTACAAATCAATATTTGCAAGATGATACTTGTATAGAAATTAAAAGTAACAAAGAAGAACTAATTGAAATTGACAATTATATAGGATGATTCAATTTGAATGATAGTTTAACTGTTTCAGATTTGGAAATAATGCAACTGAAGATTTAATGCCTGTTGATTTATTTGATATTAATATTCATAACAAATTAAAAGGTAATAATAATTATAAAGATTTCATAAATGTTGTGGATAAATATAATCTAAGTGATACAACAGGAAAAGCTATACACAGTGAGTCTTGGTATAGTGGACCTCGGTATAGTGGATTTGGGGTTTAGCAGATAAATTTTCAAAACCAAATTTTCTATAATTATTTTATCTCTGTTTAACAGATTTAATGGATTTATATGAAAGATGAAGATAAGGAAAATGAAGATGATAATGAAAAAAGTGATGATGAAAATGAAAAAAGTGATGATAAAATTAATAAATCAGCAGCAACTAAAAATTCAAACTTCACAATCGTCAAGATATATCATATAAAGTATAATAATGGAAATAATTGGTGCCAACCTGACAATTGTTTTTTTATCTCTCTCAAAATATCATTCCTTTATTGTTCCAAATTTGATATCAAAAAAGAAATAGTGACAGTTGTAAATTTGTATATTTTTGTTTTTTTTTTTAATATTTTTCATATTATATTTTTAATTAATAAGACTTAATATGAGAATTATAACAATTGACATAGGTTTTGACTTTCATAACTTTGAAAAAATAGGATCATTGTGAAACTAGTTTCGAAACTTATCAAAACTAAACAATTTCAAAACTCCTTAGTTTTGGTGACCATCACTAGTGTCAATAACTCATTTTGGGGTTCTTGAGCCCAAAGGTCCTTTTTTGCTAGAATGGAACACATGTGTTATTAAAGTCCACCAAATGAGAGAAGGGAACTCTTGCTGGTGGCTCATGCTGGGTGTATTGACCCTTCATGACATGACCTCTCTCTTTGTTAATTTTTATTGTTTATTTTATTTAGAAGGAAACATTTTAAAAAAGAAAAAAGCGTTAATGGATTTGATTGGTTACATTTGTAATACATGAAGATCCATCAATTATGAGCATTACAGTATATATTACAGTCTGGGATTATACCATTGATTTTCGAATTTTGATTGGCCATTCAAAGGTTTTTTTGAATACCAAAAACCAATAATATTACATAGAAAATCTCATTTAAAAAATTAGTTAATATACTCTTGAATATACAGTTTATTAATCCATCTTCATCCAAAAAGGTTTACACATTAGTTTTTTCCCTCAATATGAGCCATAGTTTGGCTTGAATTTTCAATTATTATTATTTTTTATGTTTTTTTTTTGTACAGTACCCAGATCTTTAATCCTAATTATACCCATGATGGCAAGTACAAGTCAACTAGCTAATAATTTAAATGTTTGTTTGAAGATATAATTGGCAAATATCCAGAGAGTCAACTGTGGCTGACTCACAAATAGTGAATGAATGATAGATAAGCAGGTAAAGAAGTATATATATATATATATAAACATGCATACAAAATTTGGCATAGACTTTATTTATATCCAAAAAGTTTACAAATTAATTTATAAATTATAATATATTTCATGATACTTATTTATTAATTTTAATAATTTTAATAACAAGATTCCTGATGAATGATAACTCCAACATTTCATCAATATATTTAACCATTATGAAAAAAGTTATTGAGTTTTTATAATTTGAAGCTATTGATTATTTTTTGACAGACTTGTAAAGCAGTTAAAAATAAACATAATACATAATTTTGGAGGTTATATGACCATTTAATAAAGCCTTTGCCAAGTTTTCTTGATAAAAAAGCATTATTTTTAACTTATTTTATTTTTTTCAAAGAAAAGATCTGCATAAAATTAGCCAATCATTTTTGTTCTAGATTGTCTATCATTATAGTATTTGGAAATTCCATATTTGGTAATATCTCCGACTGTATTATCCCCTAAACGGTTAATCGGCTATTGATAGCTGATAAAATTTTTCTGATATAAAAAATTTTTTCTGAGGGCATTACTTTCTAATACAAAAATGATCTTTGAGATTCAGCCAATTAATCTATAAATAACAATCCAGTTTTTGTCCTTGTGGTTTTTGTAAAATCTTCTTTAAAGTTGGTCGATTGACTGTTTTTACTTTGCTGATTGTTAAATTGACCAATAAGAATGATCAAAACTTTAATTTGTGTTATCATTAAAGAATACTCTGACCCTTTAAGAGATATAGCATGAGACACCTAGTCCCACAACTTTTTATTGGCCTTGTAGATCCTTCTCTAACTCCAAAAATGGAAATTTAACACCGCTGTAATTTTGAAAATTTTGAAGCTAAGACCTTTCTCTACAAAGTTACAATTTTGTTTTGTTGATATACAGGTAAACTCGATAAGTTGGTCTCTTGATAAGTCAGATTTGGCCTAACTCAGCCAAAAATTTTCAGCCCTTTTTTTCAATATTTAAAATCTCTTGATTATACATGCAGCCCAAATTGGTTTGGTGATTTCAATGGTCAAAATTAATCCAATTTTGATGGTAGAAAGTAGAAATCAATTACAGCACTTCAATCTATATAAAATCATGATAAGCTGTAAGTCAGCCAACCCTTCTTCTAGGATATATGTAAATTACTCTTGATAAGTCATTATCACATGATATTTACATTGAGTGGAGGTCATCATTACTATCAAGCCTATCAACAAAACCCAATTTTAGTGATGGGTGTAAAAATTATTTTGAAAAATGACCAAGTTATTAAGTACTTAATAACTCTATTGTTAAGTACTTAA